TCTTTTATGCATGAGGCCCCTGGAATGTTTCAAGAAGGTCTGGAATCAGTAGCTGACTGTTCCAGTGTTTCACCACTAGAGGGAGCGCCTTACCCACATACTTGCTACTGACCGTCTGTAATGTCTTTTCTATGAACTTTCAGAGCTAACCTGTACCTGCAGTAGAATCAGCAGACGGCTCAGAACGACACTGCAGGTCTGATGCTATTCTGGTAAATATGGAGCCCATTGCTGAGGCTCATACCTGGTCGCAGGTGTCCATCACTCGAACTGTAACAGGCTGCTGGTCCACAAGCTCATCTGATGAATAGATATCCTCTGAAAAAACACAGACGGCAGAAGAGCTGAGATATTTCCAAATGTCTTGTGTCATAGCTGAATGAAGCTAAGTTTGCTAATGGTCAAATATCTGTTTGATTTCATGATTTTGTTTGATGTGCACATCATGGTGTTGTAGACCAACCCTCATTTTGTTCCTGTAGAAACAATTTATTAAATCTCCTCCAGTCAGAAAATGAAACTTTTTGTTTGTAATCCGCTGATGTTTGTCAAAGTGTTGATCAAAAGTCTGGACCTAAATGTTCAAACCAAATACATCCCAGCAATTTATTATGCTCCAGTATCTGAGATGAGGATTGTTTTTTCTTCAACCATCTTTAGAGAGATCAATTGAATAAAATATACAGTGGATGTACAATTTATGACAAAAACAAAATCTGCTTGTAGTTTGGAATTGATCTATATAATGTTTCACTCAATGAATTGACTTACTGGTAATGTAGCATATTATTATTATTGAATATAACTGTATAATGAAATTTTTACTGTATTTCAAAGTTCTTTGTGGTCTCTCACCCACCCATTGGTTTCACATTGTAGTCCCATGTTAGCATGTGTAATGCAATCACTGCAGTAAATGTACTAACTTTAACTAACTTTTTTAATCAGTGAGGAAGAAAAGACTCACCAAGATAAGGATCATATTCACTGATGAAGCGCTTTGTGAGAAACTTGACAGTGAGAGCTGTAAAATGAGAAAAGGAGCATAAAACAAGTTGCATAAGTGAATCTGGAGCCCAGGGGACCCACGGGGCCGGGGAGTCAGTCAGAGTCCTGGGAAAGTCAGAGCTTCATAAACTGTCCCATTTACCAGGAGAAATGGTGGAACTGTTCTGATGGACCACCCTGAAAACAATTTCTCTATGCTGCAAAAATAATAGTTGATCTAAAGTCATCCAGATTCTCTCAGAACTAAAAATAGAATCTAAAATCCTAATCAGAAGCTTTACAACAAAGAAATGAACGTGGCTCATTCACAATGTTTTCCTAACAAGTTGTTAAAAAGGAACACAGACCTGATTTTCCACAGCCCATTGCTCCGAGTAGAACCAGGTTGCACTCAGCACATGGCTTTACCTTTCCAAATATCCCGGTCATGGTCGGGTCCAGACTGCTGCACGCTGATTCTGACTGTCCTCTCTCTGCTGGGGATCATGTCCTTACAGACGAGCAGAGACAGGAAAGATGTGCGCTCCTCTAGTGTCAGCCTCAAGCTGACACTGAGGAGGGAGGGATGATGATGATGATTTAGACCTGTGGTCACAGTCCAGAGCAAGCAGGGCTGTGTGCAGCTTGTTCACTCATCTGGCCAGTTTAGGTAAAAAAGGTTTAAAGAAAAGCAATACAAACTAAACTTAATGGAAACATCGGCTGAGTCAAAGCTTCCTTGTCAGACTCAATAATTCCATACAGTTCAGTGGTTGTGTTCTGGCATTCATGTGACATAGATATGTTAGACATCCTTGTTTTCACATTTGCAGCTGTTTGTTTTGGTTCTGTACAGGAACATTTCCAACTTTCCTCTTCAAAACAGTTGTGATGTTTGACTTACAGCTTTTAATTCCTTCTGAAAAATTCTTAAAAATGTAAACAAGGTTTATTCAAATCACTCTGATAAACACATACATTAGCTGAAAATCGGTTTCTCTGAATTATACCAGCAGAATTAACTTCACATTACCCAGAAGTTGGGCTTTTTATTTTGGTTGATTTAATATCGGTCAATACCGCTCTGATACAGAGTAACAGTGCCGATTTGACTTAAAAGTTGTTTTAAAATATATGTGGCTGCTGTCAGGACAACTGCCTCTTGTTTTTTATTTTTGTTGGGTTTTTTTTGTTGAAGGTGGCAGTAGTAATTTTATTGGTTTTATGTTGGGTGTACATTGGAATGTAGAGGGGGAACTTTTGTTTTGTTCCGCGCGGCATGTGTTGCCCGGGGAGCTATGACTGGCGCATTTGGAGCCAGGTGGGTCATGCGGGCTGGAGAAACTGTAAGAAGATAGACTTTATTCCTCTGGAGTTGATGTAGCTAATGAGTTCTGACGGCATTTTTTGAGGACCTTAAAGAACGTGTCTGAAATAAATGGCTGTAGAAAATCAAGAACTGCGTTAAGTTTAATTGAACTCGAGAGGAGTAACAATATAAATGTACTGAATTACAAGTTTATTTGATAACTTTGTACCACTACAGCACCTTTAATTACACCAATAGCTTGACAAGCTTGATCAAACATGTAAAAACAACACAATTTTCATTTGTAAAGTCTATAAATGCTATGAGGAGCATGCAAAATAAATAATTAAGAAACTAGAACTGACAAAAAAATTAACTATAACAAACTTATTTGAAATGGTTTTAAAAGTGCAGTTAGGAATTCTAAATATTAAGTAAAAATAAATAAAGCAAGACGCCACTAGAGAACAAAGCATAGAATTAGACTCTATAGATTCGCCCTTGTCACCAATACCTGATCTAGAAATTTTTTCAGCATCGGGATTAATACAGATATTAATATTATATCAGTGCATCTTCAATTATCACCCAGACAGGTTGATTTGGTAAGAGTTTATAATCGGAGTAACATAACATAACCAGCAGATCAGATGATCAAAGTCATAATGTAGAACCTTATAATAAAATGTTCCACCACATCTCTCTGTGTCTCAGTAGAAGATGAGCCATAGACCTGACAGCACAGTTGTCCTGTGAACAGATTGGGTGTTGAAGTGGTGGCATGTGTGGCACTTCCCCCAGATGAGTCAACCATTGTCATCAAGCCATCGACTTGGCTTGATGCTCAAGGTCGGATCTTCAGCTGTTCCACAAACAAAGAGGGAATCATTGTTGATTTCCAGTCACCATTCCATCATCCAGCTCACCTCTCCACTCAGGTTACATTTGGTCTTGGACTGTGTCACACCTCTGCATCTGCTGCTGCTATGTATAGAGTGTGCTCTCAGAGTTGCACCAACAGATACAGAGAGGAGAATACTGTCTTTGGCAGTTCAACAAGTGGTGCATGTAGTTGGATTTCAAAACAGATTGAACTGCTTTTAATGAATGAGCGTTTGGTAGGGAGCTGCAGCAGAAACTAATGGCGGCCAGCAGCTGCCAGGGGTCCGGACACAGTGAGGCAGCAGACATGTTGAAGGTCAACGTCAACGGCAATATTTTCAGCGTGGACAGAACCGTCATGGCAGACAACTGTGAGTACTTCAGAGCGTTGTTCCAGTCTGGAATGAGAGAATGCCAGCAGGAGGAGGTACACCTGCGAAGCGTTGGCGTTCAGGGATTCCTGGTGCTGCTGCGGGTGCTGCAGGGGGAGCGGCCCATGCTCAACGGTGACCAGATTGTTGAATCGATTGAATGCACGGCTTTTCTCCAGGTACCAGCTCTCACCAAACACATGATGAACATCATCAGCTCTGAAAACTGTTTGCTTATGTATCACACAGCTGCTGTCTACGGGGTATGGGAGCTGTCCCACCACTCGGCCTTATTCATCAGGGACATGTATGCTGATCTGAAGGAGGACATGCACGCCTTACCCAGGCAGATGGCGGAGTACGTGGAGTCTGTTTCCCCAAGCAGTTACATGGCCATGTGCAGCCACTCTCCATCCTCAGAGCTGCTGCACAATGTCCAGAGAACGGTTTGCTATCTGGATGAGGAACACAGGAAGTGGAGAACCCTCACTCAGCTGCCACTGAGCACCAGCACCACCATGGCAGGGGTGGCTGTCCTTGACAACAAACTGTATATCATTGGAGGAGTACATGATGTCAGTAAGAGAGTTGTGGAGGCCGGGTTCTGCTACAACCCTACAGATGACACTTGGTCCACAATTTGTGGTCCCCAGCAGCTGCGCTACAGCTTCACACTGATTGGTCTTGAGGGATGTCTCTATGCCTTAGGAGGGAAGTTCAACATGAAGGATCTGTCATCGGTGGAGAGACTTCAGACGTCTGAGGGGAGTTGGGGCTTTGTCTCAGCCCTGCCCTGCCAGATAGCGTCTGTGGTGTCAGCTGTAGCCATGAACAGGATCTTCATCTGTCTCTGGAGAGGGAAGGGGGCCACAGATGTCCACGAGTACGTCCCAGAGGATGACCGCTGGCTTTTGGTCACAACACTCATCCGCCAGCAGAGCTATGGACTTTACATGGTGGGCCACAGGGATAATCTGTACATGATGCGGAACGGACCGGGTGAGGACTTCTTGCTGTGTGTGATGGACTGCTACAACCTGACCTCAGGTCAGTGGACAGCCATGTCCGGTCACTATAGCAACAGCAAAGGCTCTCTGTTCACCGCTGTGGTCAGAGGCGATTCGGTGTTCACCCTTAGTAGACATGTTACCACTGAGTACAGGGTGGAGAAGACCCAGTGGAGGAGAAAGCGTGAGATGGAAGGTTTCGGTCGGGTTGGATCCATCTATACGTTCCAGATGAGGCTTCCTAAGCACACCGTCTCTCTCAGGGATAGATGTTTGGATCAAACTTCAGAAGAAAGCTTTAGAGACAAACAGATTGTTCCCCTTCCTTTACAGTGCTCCTATAACTTCTGAAGGGAAATTCTGAAGTTGGCTTTTGTGGAGCACTAATAAGCAGTCAGCATCTTCCCCATAGAAGTGAAAAACTTGTTGGAGCAGGATTGTTCCAGAGTAGTATGATCTGAAACATGAATCGCAAAATGGAATTTTTTCATCAAGTGCAGCCAAAGAAACTTTCTGATAGAAAAACAGTTCAATAATATTTTAAGCTGGTTGATAGTTTAAGTTTTCACATCACATTTTTGAATAAGGTGCTTAGTCATGTTAGTTACACTAAACATGTTTTGAAGAATGTTCCATGTCGAACATTTTAGCTTTGTGAAAAACCATTTCTGATCTATGTAAAGTTCATCATTCCACAGAGAGGAAAGTTATTCATGAGTGGAAAACAACCCAGATTTCAGTCTCCCCAGGAGTGTACATCCCAGTAAATTCCACCATCCGTCAATACTCAGAGAAAAACAAACAAGAAGTCTGTTTCAGACTGCAGGTATTAGATAATATATTAGATAATATTAATGTTCATAGCTGAACAATGAGAAAAAGACTGAACCAATATGGCAGATGATCATGGATTTCTGTGTGTTGGGTACTTTCTCCTTTCACCGCTTAAAATGTGTTATGTTGAGTTCAGTTTTATGTCATGTTATGTTATTCCCTCATCAAAAACATACTTGGAGTTTTGATTTGATTCCTTCATGCATGTTTGAGGAATCCTTGAATTTTCCATGGCAACCATTAGGGATGCCTAAATGCCAGACTCCCAAAGAAGAGTCTAGCATTTAGGCATTTTCTGCCTGTTAAACTAAAGCAGCTAACAGTAGCAACATTTTATTTCTTATGTATTTATTTTGTATAAATACATGATTTAGTATATAAGCATGAAAAAAAGCAATAAGAAAGAAGTCATTAAATTCAATCAGAAGATGCAGTTTTTATATTGAAACATGTTTTTGTTATGATTCTAAATTACATTTGAAGCAATTTGGGAACTCTGTGAGCACACCATCCAGCACAGATAGTCTTGATAAAAAGAAAGTACACCCTGCTTCAATGTTTGTATTTTCCATATCAGAGCATATGAAAGATATCTGGTATTTATCAGGTTTGAAAATGATTCAGATCTAAATGTGGAACAGGTTCTGCACTGTTATTTATTACACAAAGAAGAAGTAAAACTGGAAAAGTTGACCCTGCGTGCTTTCTTGGTGCTGTGTGGTCTCCCACTGTGCTTCTGGGAGTTTGCTGTTCAGGAGCAAACAGGTGTGTGTTCCAGCAATGCCAAGTAGGAAAGACATCAGCAATGGTTCAGTACTCAAAGAAATGACAAAACACTCTTAGCCTATATCCTGCAGACACCTTTGAGAGCAATTGATCAGAGCAAACCAAAGAGAAAAAGACTGAACAAATATTTAAGCAGCTTTCTCTTTGCACCCCCTCATTGCTGTGGTGATAATAATTCATCTATAATAATCATTTAAAGGCTGGTATAAACTAGATCATTCATATGTTCTGACTCTTGAGCTGATGGAGTTTGTATTTTCTGTTTACTTTGACTGCAGATATGGAAAGACATTGACCAGGGCCGGATATAAAAGGATGTGGGCCCTGGGGTGCAGCCAGCTTTGGTGCCCTATCCTTTAAGTAAGAAATATCTTGCTAATGCAAATTACAGTAAATAATATACAGTAATTCTACATACATCAGCAGGTATGAACTGATGCTTAAAGGCTAGTATAAACTAGATCATTCATATGTTCTGACTCTTGAGCTGATGGAGTTTGTATTTTTATATGTGGCACCCCAGGGCCCACATATAAAAGGATGTGGGCCCTGGGGTGCAGCCAGCTTTGGTGCCCTATCCTTTACATAAGAAATATCTTGCTAATGCAAATTACAGTAAATAATATAATCCTACATACATCAGCAGGTATGAACTGATGCTTGCTCGGTTAAATACATCCTCCAGACAATAACTCCTTGGTCATTGTTTATAGTCTAAAAATCCTAAAATAATACAACTCACATGACTTTTATATAAAGTGAAATGTTGCAAAAGACCCATTCATTAAATAAAAAAAGAAAAACATGAAAAAGACAGGAAACTCTTTAGGGACCACCCAAAAATGGGGCCCTGGGCTACTGCCCGTGTAAGCTGTCTCTAAAGCGTGGCCTCATCAGGTGGGCTTCTCTTTGTAGTGGGTTTCATTAATGAGCTACATTTTGTAGTGTAACGCTGATCTGAAGCATTTAAAAGTGGATGCAGCTGCAGATCCACTTTGATTGAACATTCCAGACCCCTCACTCTGCAGTAGGTCAGACCAATGAACATCAATGTCTTGTCAAACTCAGGCAGAGGAGCTAAATGGAGAAAAATAAAATGACATCTGGACCTTATTTAGTTTTAGATACAACACAATAATTCATGGTTTAGTTTCTATGCTTCCAAAAATAACTTCTACGAAAATAGAACTGTCCTAAAACTCATTATGACATATGCTGAGAGTTTAACTGAAGTGGTTTAGTACAAAAAAAATAATATGAAAATCATGAATATAGCATTACTGAACACAACCAAAACCTACTGCCTAAAACCCACTCTTCAGTTTGAACCGAACTGCATGTGGCCGTGCCGTCACGCCACATGCATCATCAGCTCCTCAAGCGCCCGCTCTCTGTGATTCTCATGGACAAGCAGCACTTCTTTGATGGTGTGTGGCTGGAAGCCCATCTCATTGAACTGAGTCAGGAGGTGGAGGAACTCCTCCGCCTAAACAGGAAGAAGTTGAAATGAGTCGAGTCTTGAAATGAGTCAGATCTCCAGAATTCATACACTGCTGCTTACCACCTTTGTTTCACAGTTCTGAAACATCTCCAGGGCTTCTTCCACCTGAGCCATGTCATAGCCCAGCTGACACAGGTGCTCACACGCAACCAGGTAATTCAGGATCTGCAGACAGAAACACATTCAAACATATTAACATGATTGGTGTGCTTTTTTTATTTTGTAATATATTTCATAATGTAATGAAATAATAAACATGTTTCAATTAAATTTCATTTATGAAACAGTTTTATGGTATGAGTTTCCATGTCTCCCATAAGTTCCTGTCCTGTTGTCCCAGTATGTCCCAGTATGTTCTGCAGTTTGGCTTTCTCTCCTCTCAGAGCAAAGGGCTTTTCATGTCATGGGAAAACACATAATGCACCACAAGCTGTGGAAGTCTTGGCTCTATTTTTAAACTGGCTTAAAGTGGCTTAGCATACAGTATTTCTGTTTCACCTCCCACAACCCCATACCCACTACTGCTTTGTGCTCTTCTGTTTTCTATTTCCAGATTTGAAAGGACTTACAGGAATCCTGGACATTTACTGATCAAGACCACTTTAAAGATTACAAGATGTCTGGCTGATTTGGTTCTAAATATAGAGTCAGGACTTTTAAAAGGTACTGTATGAACAGACATCATGAGTTGGTAATGTGTCCGATACAGGATGATAGCATCTCTGTTTCAGCCTCAGTGGTTGATTCCTTACCTGGTAACAACATTTCTGGTGAATGCAACACTAACCTGATCTGGGGTCTGTTGTCCTGCCCTCTGCAGGGCAATGATGGCAGTGCGGAGGGGGTATCCCCGGGCAGTGACGACCCTGAGCAGCTCCCTCTCCTCTGGGCTCAGAGCTGACAAGAGCTCCACAGACGAGTCCAGAGCAGAGCTCAGGCTCCCGCACAGCGAGGCTCTGTGGTGAGCTCTGCAGCAGTTTGGTCTGAGACGCATCTGGAAGACACAGCAGACAACAATCAGTTATTAAAACATGGCTTTGACAGCTCATATTCTCTAGAATGCTGAGTGCAGGCCAGAGTGTCACACAGCGGTGGAAGGAGACAAGTCACACACTGTAATCCTGATCAAGGTGCTAACCTGTCTGCTCTCAGGCTTTACCAAGTCTATTTATACACTATGAAAGTATATTAAAGTTTCTAAGAAAAATAAAAATAGATGCTGAGAACTGATTTAATCTTTAAATGACTAAATATTAAGTGATCATATCCAAGCAGAATTTTTCCAGCATTTGAAACTGTGAAGAAAACAGAATTCTTTGGGATTGAATTTAAATTGCAGCTCTAAAAAATTCAAAGGGTCATCTAATGAAGATATTCATAGTAACTCTGATAATGGAGCAGATTTATGCTAACCTGTACAGGCCCATGGACCTGTAACAATGAGTCTCAGCTGCTCATTTGACAGAAACAGGTGAAACCGTTATCATTTTGCAAATCTGTTGTGCAGAGGAGAAAAAAAACCTCACTGACAGAGATTTTCTCTACGTTGAACTGTTCTAATTTGTTCTCAAAGAACTGAATATATATTTAAAACATAACCTGAATGAGTTTGTTGATGTCAGGTCTCAGAGATCAGAAGCTAATAGCTTTAATTGTGTTCATACAACAAGCTGTGGAATTATGAGTTAATTTACTTCTACCAGAGTAAATGAAACAGGGTTTAAAGTCATGATTTCACCTGTCAGTACTTTTCATTTGGGTTTCTGTGTTATGGTGGAAACAGCACTCCCTGTTGGTGGTTGGTTGTAACAAGGGCAGAGGGCACAGGGGTCACGTTGCCATTCTGAGAGACAGGCAAGAAGTGGGTTCACTGATGGTAAAGCATTGTAACTGTCCTTCCTCTTTTATTATTCCTGGCATGGGCGGTTCTACACAGTCCCTGTAGGACTGGTCGTGTACTGAAAGGAGTGGACCGTTTTTGCCTTCATAGCTTTACTTTAATGATGAATTGCACTTTTAACCTCAGCTGTATTGAGACAGGATCACAGTTTTCATGTGATGTATCAGGGCTCTGCAACCTGAAGCTGCAAATGGTTCACTTGATATATTGAACTATGAATTATTGCCTGTTCTTTTTTTGTTTGTTTCATTCTTTTGTTCTGTGCTCTCATGAAAAAGCACTGGCCCTCTTACCCTGGCCTACCTAGTAAATTTGGTCATTGGGTCACTGTTAGATGTAATGATGTCAGTCAGGATCCTAATGAATTGCATGTTGTAAATTTGTGGATTTAGTCCAATGGATTAATACAGACTTTAAAAAGATCCACTGGTTTGTTGCTAACGTAAAAAAACTGTTGTTCATAAGATGCTGTACCCACTGCAGTGAATCCATGATTTTTGACCAGTGCATATTTTGCTCCATACAGATTAAACAATTATCAATAACTCCTGGACATTATTAAACACAAAACAGAGAGAAACAATATGAAGATATAAGAACCGAACGGGTTTACATCTGAACTGGACCAAGTTAGACTATGGCCAAATTCAGCACAGTTACATAAACACATAAACTAAATTAAACAGTGTGACACTACTGGCCGAAAGGCATCTGACACAATGTAAATATCTAAGTATCTAGTATCTAGTGGCGCAATGTCTAGTTTTAAGTTTATTTGAAGTCTTTGCAAAGCATATTATGAGACTTTTAGCTTTCCCTATATCCATTAATCTCTCTACTGTTACTGAAAATTACTGAAAAAGTAGGCCATGTCATCATCAACCATTTCTGCATTGACTTGGTGTGGAGTACTTTATAGTATGTTTATGTTCTCATATTGTGCAAAAACCCAATAAAAATCCTCATTTGAATGAGAGTGGTAATGAGCTCTGAGACTCACTTCTAGCTGAATTAGTCGTAATGATGGACAATGTTTAAGGGCAAAGCAAATTATACTGTAAAGAATACAACTCAGTGCATGTATATTTATGTCCTACTCCACACACATAATAACGATTGTCTCGGATGAAAGAAAAAGAGAAGTACTTTTTCCCACAAATTATCAAGTTGTTGAGATCTTACCATATCTGCTGTTTTATGGTTTCCAGTGGATTTGTCGGTGGTATAGGTCCTGGTGTTGGGCGCTTTGTATGAGAATGAGCTCAGAGGCTGACTGTCCATGTTGGACTCTTGTTTTTTGGACATGTCTGTCCCAGAGACAGAACACTGCCGCAGGTTCTTCCTACGCTTGTGGGGGAGGCTGCTCAGGCAGGATGGAGGATTCAGCAGGTCTGGGATGAAGGCTCTCTGTGCTTTTCTTTGACCGCTCTGACATGAAGCAGCTGGGTGCTCTTCCTTCAAACAAGCTTTAGCTGTCAGGTTTTCATTGGCTTCCTGCACAGTATTTCCTCCTTCATCCTCCGAGTCCGAGATGGTGAAGGTGGTGCGAAGTACAGCAGGATTGAGGCTGTGGGAGCGTTGTCGAGGATTTGGTTCCCAAAAGTCAGAGCTGTGGCGGCTGGCTAGACGACTCTGCTGTGGGCTGCTGAACATCATCCAGTACGGAGGACAAGATGGTAAAAGTTCAGATGGAGGGGTGAATGGCTGAGGCCGCTGATGGTGGGTGGGACCATTCTGTAAGCCAGTTAACACCCAGTTCTCCAAGCTGAACTCATACTGTAATATCAAGAAACAATATGCATCCTTTTACTACCTGCTTTACTGGAGCAAAGAACTTTTAAAATTAACTGACTTTTTCTTAACCCCATGAAGGGAAATTATGTGGCTTCTGTCTTTATTTCCATTGTTTCGCAAAATTGTATCCATTCTTAATGTAAAATGTACTGAAATTTGGTTCACATTCTGATGACATGGGCCATGTCATATAAGCTAAATTTACCTCAGAGGCTAAATAAAATTTTGTTCTCTAGCATGCTAAGAGCTGCATGAAACACTGAACACACAAACAAATGAAACGCTTAAAGACACAGAGTAAGGAAAGCATCCGTACTGCTGTTTCCCGTAATATGCTGAGGTAATCAGGCATCGTCACTTTGACATCATCTTTGACTTCTTGTAAGATGACAGCCTGGGGCATCTTCAGTGGAAGACCTTCCATCCTATACGGTTCACTGAGAGACACACACACACACACACACACACACACACACACACACACACACACACACACACACACAGGATGTGTAAAGAGTACACCCATCTTGTAAACACAGTTGACTGGCATTGTTTTAAAACCTATATCTCCAAAACACTTGTCACCATTTCAACAGTTTGTTTGTGTGTGTATTATTTATTTAATACATTGCAGGGACTATTTTCCTAATACATATTACATTGACGGGAAATTCTGTTTTTTGGGTTATGGGTAGGACTAAAGTGTGAAATGATATTTGCTTAGGCTTAGGGTTATGCATGTGCTGGTAATGATCAGTGTCAGGATTAGGGTTATGCTGTAGAAATGAATGGAAGTCAATGGAAAATTCCTGCAAAGATAGAGAAACAAACATATATATGTGTGTGTGTGTGTGTGTGTGTGTTGTGTGTGTGTGTGTGCGTGCGTGTTATGTGAGATTTGCTTGGCCATATGCAGATATTTTGTAAACAGGCAGCTTGTGCTCTGCTTGTGTTGTGAACCTTAAAGCTGGAAGGATTCTGATGAGTCCAATCTGTTCCTGACCAAACAAACGTGTCCTCTCTAACCTTGCTCTACCAAGGAAATAGATGTTTACAAGCTTGAGCAAATATTTAAGCCCCTGAAAGAGGTGCTTAGAAGTTATTTTTCAGTTCAGCAGAAATGTTCAGGTTAAGATGGCAATACCGCTCCCCCCCCTCCCCGGGGAAAAGAAAAATACAGTGTAGCTGTTTCCTTCCCAGGAACCCTGACTGACTTCACACTCATACATTAATTTATTGGTTCGGTGAAGAGTGTTACACAATGAATAAAAGCCACGTGCTCTCCTGTTAGATACTATGCAAGTTTGTGGCAATGCATCGGTGAATAGAGGGAAACCATATAAACATTTTGCACGCAAGTATTTATGTGCAGTGATGTCAGAGCAGATGCTCAGCTTCTGCTCCTTCTGTCCACTGAAAGTTAATCAGACATGTGCTGCAGTGAGAATAAAACCCAGAGCAGATGGTGCAGGACTTCAAGCAGCAGAGGAAACATGTTTCTTGAGCTTATTGTGTGTCCTGGTGCTAATAAAGAAGCTCATGTAAAGCTAAACCAGAACAAGACTTTCTTTAAAGGTCTGTACAAAACATTCTACATGATACTAACCACTTTTACACAGCACTACACTGTAACACCAGACATGTTATCTTGATGCTTTTTTTGAAATAGGTTTTAATGAAATTTTAGTTCTTCCAGCAAGCATTACGCAAAGTTTGATAAATCCTCACCACTATTTTTCACGACAAAGTGCTTTTCTATGGAATCTTTTAACTATCAGAGCTAGGAAATAAATAGAGCAGCATCTTGTGACAACAAGAAATGCTCGTTTTAATGAGACTTAAATCTCTGTGCCTTTTTATGAAGTAGTAATCTTTTAGAAGAATATATTTTCATATGTCATTATAAAAATATAACTGTCACCATAACGTGTCTGACTGGCAGTGACACACTTCTGTACTTTTCTACAGTAATTCTACTGATGGTTCTTTGAGACTTCCAGGAGACATCAGGCTGTGATGAAGGAATGTTTCACTTCACCTCAGCATTGAACTTAACAGAAAAATCCCAACAATATTTTCCAGATTCAGTAGTCATTTGATGGAAGAACTTATTTCTCAATCTCTGCACTGTCAACCAATAACACATAGTCAGCAAAAGTATTCCAAGACTTTGAGACTCAGGAGTTTTGTAACATTACTTTCTAAGTTCTTGTGAGCTTTTATTCTGAAGCAAAGAAAATAGACGTAAAAGACGATTATACACAGAAATTTTATAGTAACAATAATCCTTGAAAATAATCAGTTACACATGATCCAAAACTAGCATGAAGAGGGAACCTACCTGTGATTTATCTGTGCCTCAGTGAAACACTGTGTGAAGCTGGAGTGAAGCCTCCCTCTGAAGGTTCTGTCAGAAGCAGCTGAAACTCTAATCCATTAACCTCAGTTAACCCTATTAGCTGACATAGAGTGCGTATCAGACAGCATCCCACATTTGATAACATTTTGTCACACTGCTAACATTTTGGCATTCTCAGAGCTCGCACTATAAGGCTTAGTTCATTGTATTAAATATAATTTAGGTGATTAGGTGACAAGAATCAAGTTTCTGTAATTTCCTGACTTTACGCTGCATGGTAAACTCTATAAAACCTTCTATAAAAGATTTGAAAACACACCCAGCTTAGAGCACCACATTTATTTCCTTGCAAGTTTACATTTTTGTTGTTAACAGTCACTTCAAATAGATGAAACTCATCTATTGCCTGGCAGAAGTGTATCACTGCCAGGCAGTAGAACGTACCGAGTTCCAATACACTTTTATAATAAAATGCCCCCTTCTGGCAGAAAGTGGTACCTGCTTTAGTCCAACGACGTGCACAGAAGAGGATGTTGGTCTTCATGGTAACTTTATGCTTTGCTGTTCCATTTTTCTCTTATGTGAATTACTGAATTGGTGGGTTTGTAGGTTTCTTGGCACTGATGAATCTATTAAGTCACAAATTTTAACAAGGGTTGAGATCTTGGCCCTTTCATTCACCTGATATTATGCAGTTTAATCCATCCAAAACCTGTCTGGGTGGTTATTATCCTATTGAAACACCCAACTGTGTCCAAATATAAACCGCTAAGTTGATTCAAGATGACGCTGAGGAAGTTTTGGATAGTGACAAACTAGCTACACTCTATAATAACTGCCATCAATGAGATCCTATAACCTTCAGAACCATATTAAAAGATTTAAGCCATAATTCTGAAATTATTAAAAACTAAAACTTTTACATAATCATATGTTACCTCTACCAGAAAAAGACATTAATTTCTGAAACCTAATTAAAGGTAAACAACAGGACATGTAAACCTCTGAGGAGAATGGCTTGTTCCCAGTCAGGTCTGCAGGCCAGGTTCAAAACCAGCAAAACCAGACACCGTTCATCTCTCTTTCTAATCCAGCCACTTTGAGCACCAGGGTTCAATTTTTTTTATTTTTAATTTGCAAAAACTTAAAATTTGGAGTTTACTTCCACTTAGCCATGACTCAAACTGACAAATACATTGTTTTCATTTTGCTATATTTTCAAATGCATAGGCTGGCAAAAAGGAAAATGAACATTGTTGTTTTGAAATATCGCTCCAAAGTCACCAGCCTGTCCCACTCCACAGCTGAGTGAAGATGGAATTGGCAGACATTTTACGCTGGATGTCCCCCCTCCACATAAACATCAAACTACATGTCCAAAATACACATTTTGGTGTATAAAAAAGCCAAACCCATCTCAAGGATGACTGTAACATTAAATTAGAATCCACATAATGAAAATACCATCTTTAAAGAAGACGGGTTCGCTATAAAGTGAGTTCATTGTCTGATCCAGCTGACTGGATGTGAGTCAGAGGCCGTCAGGATCAGCAGCCTGCAGGGCCGAGGCCCAGTTCTGGTCAGACGGAGAGTCAGGCAGTACCCAGCCCTGAGGAACCCCAGATCCATCAGGATGATCTGCTGCCACCAGGAACACGTCCCAGTCTGTCCTGAAACAACAGCACACCTTATCAGGACCTTCTGTCAACACAGAGCTCACAATTTCTGCTGATGGAAAACAAAAAAAAACAGCTTCGCTAAGACTGCATGGTGTTCAGTCACCGTGGTAGCAAAAAACTCAAACCAACCAGTTAATTTGTTCCACATCTAAAGTTAGAGGCTGAAGACCAGACCAGGCCCAAGGCAAGGCTCATCAAGACTCTGCTTGGGGCCCACACACCACGCACCAAGAAAACCTTTTCTGTATTATCTGTATAGTTGCTATACTTTATAGTCTGCTGCCACAATTGGTGAAATATAAAACTTGTTAACTTGTTTACTGTAGTGTTTATCAGTTGATGTTACTTTTAAATAAATAGTATTACGGTTAAATAACTTCGCATTTCAAAATCCTCTTTTTTTCTTTCTTCAGTTTGCTACTCTTGTAAGGTTAAAACCAATAGCCATAATAACACTGGACATACAGAATGGCTTTAGGAATGATAAAGCAGCTGGTGTTGATCAGATGCTTTATCATCTGGTCAACACCACATTGATAAAGCATCAATGTGGTGTTGATGCTGGTGCAGACCAACCTGATGTGTATGAGCGCCTGCAGGGAGTGCTCTGCCTGGCTGTAGTAGTCAGTGAAGGGCTGCAGGATGCTATCAGCTGGAGGCTCATCTGCAACACAAACACAGCCATCAGGAGGAGGAGGATGAAGATCCAGAGCCAACCTGGAGGAATCTAACAGCCTGGCTGGAAAAGCTGCTACCTCCAAACAACATGGAGTCCACCCTACGCTTCCTCTCCAGCTGCCGCTCCCTCTCCTTCCTGATTCGCCTCTCCTGCTCCCTCCTCCGCTCCTCCTGCTGCTCTCCTTCCAGCATCACCATCAGAGCCTTCTCCTCGGCCGAGTACAGCTCCGTCCTCCTCTTCATCACACCCCTCAGCTGCTCCAGCTGACCACTGAACGCCTCGTCACACTGCAGCTCTGTGCCGATCCCTTTAAACAACACGGCTTACAGAGTTATGGCTGTGCTTACAGCTCTATAGTCAGCTCATTAGAACCGCAGCAGTTATGCTGAGTTAGCCTTTAAGCCACTTGATCCAGAATGTCATCATCAAAGAAGATTTTTGGAAATGTTTTGATTTTTTGCTTCAGAGCCTAAAAGAGTCTGCTGATCTGGAGGAACAAACCATCTCTGCTTTTATTTATTTATTTTTACTTTTTTAAAATTCTGAACAATATAATATGGCATACTTCATAGCATAAAAGGGAAATTTAATATAACTGAACAGAAAAGTAAATAAAGGATGATTCAAATATAAAACAAGCAACTTAGTATAAAGAGTAAAAATCATCACACCAACTTTCAGTTGTTAAAGTGAATTAATGGTATATGATATTAATGAGTGAGATTTTGTGTTGTTGCAACAATTTAGTGCTTCCTTAAACCTCCTTCGCTAGAGGACCCAAATTTGGGTCCTCGGCCCTTGCCGAGGACCCAAACAAGATCAGTTGAAAACACATGCTATACATTTATCAATATAGGCATATTGCATATCCACGTATCGGGAAAAAGCTCTTCTAAATGATAGAAACAATATTTTCTACCTCAACAACACCCACTACAACACTAAGCAGCTTGATAAAAAGAAAAGCAATTAGATGCTAACGAGGCTAACGAGGCATATCCGGTAAAAAAAAAACAAAAACGCAACAATGAAAGAGCAACGAGGCCCAACGCTCACAAACTATCAGAGTAAAGCCGAAGCTCTGCTGTTTCCAACAATACCAGAGACACCACGCTACGTGCAAAACTCACTGAACCAGCAGCTACAGAAGAAAAAAAGAAATAGCTCATTTCACGAAGCGAAAAGCATAAATTCAGTCCTACCTTTGCTGTTTCGTGGTCATAATCCTTATTAGAGTAAATATTTCCACTTGGTCCGATAATCCATTTTCCCTGCGTCCGTCTCACATTGTTTTCGGCTCCGCCCAGAGCCTCTTCCGTCTCCTAGCTACCATATACAAAATCTAGAGGCGAACTCCGTCAATGTACGTCACATGCGTTTTCCTCGCTGGAATTGGTGAATGGCTTTAGGTTCCGTATTAATGTCAACGCCCTCGGATTCTATTGGCTGTGACGGTTCGAAAGACATGTCAATCATCAAAATTGGCCAATGGGTTCCCGAGAAACTGCCCCGCATAATTTAAATTTCTGAATGCGGAAGTGAAAAATTTTACACGCAGAGCGCATTGTTATTGTAATGTAATTGTGAGATATATTCGTTTTCTCTTGTGATTATATCATTTTGACAAATTAGTTTTCATTGCTATTTGCATTTTCATTGTTATATAATTCTATTTGAAATGTTATTGTGAGTTAATCTGTTCCATTTTCAGATTATTACAATTTGTCTATTTTTTTCTCTTTTTATGAATGAATGCAATGTGGATTTTTAAAAGGAACCTCCAAAAACAATTATTAGATGTAATTACTTATCTATGATAAATAATCATTTATTATATGATAAGAATAATTGATTGAAACAGAACCTACAGGAAAAAAAAAACCTGAGAAAGTTCAAATGGCACAAATTGTGCCAAAATGGCTAATTTGGAAGGTCCACCTAGATTTTTATCAAGTAGTACCTCTCTAAAACTCATATGATTAACTTTTTTTTTCATGAAACTTGGCACAATAAAAGGTCAGACTGTGTACTGTTGTTTACTATATGTTTTGGATTTCATCTGCATTGCTTTGAAAGGAATCTTAATATATTGAACTGTTTTTTTAGGCGGAAATAGATTTTTTTTCTTAATTTCTGCTGTGTATCATATTAATTTACTTTCCTCAGTAACAGACAGGGTGCTTTTTAGAGCTGTAACATATTCACTAGGGTCTTGCCTTTGTTTTGATACCAAAACAATTAAAATAAACTCTGTAGTTCTTGAGATACATTCAATTCATTTTGGGCATGTTATTTTCAGCCATATTTCTCAAAAACAGGCCATGAGTCTGAGAAGTTTTAAATACAATAATATCAATTTAAAAAAAAGAACTGTTGGAACTGGGGGTGCATTATAAAACAACATAAAAATGTAGTTAGAATATTAATTTATTATTGCAGTTTGATTCTTGGTCCCTGCTACAAGACCAACTTCTACTAGATCAAAAGTTTAAAGTGGAAGAAGTAAAGATTCTTATTTAAGATCCAGCTTTGAAAATGCTTCCAAAAAACTTTTATGACAAGAAGTGATATTATGTTAAAGTTTATGGATGGTTTTAAAATGGAGATCATTTTGCAGGAGAGTAACTACGGTAACGCCCAAATCAACTTTTGTTTTGCTGATAAAATGTCTAAATGTTATTTATGCTTCTATCTTTACAACCATAAATATAGAGCCATAAATATGGTTGTGTGAACTTGAACATTTTCATGTAAATTTGCTTAGTTCTGCATTATTTTGCCTAAAACAGTCTCACTGTAGTTTAACGGTGCAAAAACCTAAAACAAAATTTCCAATATTACAGAACCTGTTCATGAAAGTCAGAGTTTTATCACATATATATTCAACAATATCTTTAAAGATCTGACATGGAAAATGAAAGCAGACTTTTGTACATTTTTACAACCATCTGAGTTTGATGGAACCAATTGGATCAGAACCAATCAGATTTAAACCTCTACAGATTTAATTACATCACTCCACCTAATGGCATCTAGTTTCCAAATAAAATGACAGCTGACCTGACTTATTTTTTTTTTGATCATTTGATCAGATAAATATGAGGACTAATCTGGGTAAGTAAGCTGAGACAAAAGTTCTATTTTAGGGAGTAAAACCATTAAAAATTTAGATAAATTTGGAGCAGAATGTTGAGAACAACTTCACTTTTATCCATTTTGGATGTTTCTCTTGTCTTTCATATGAATAATTCCTGATACTTCACTTCTTTTCTAACTGGGACATGAAAAGAGAGTCTGGGGAATGATGGTGAAGGATTGTCCCTCTGCAGATCTCAGATTTGTGCCGTCTCTTAAAAACTGGCTCCGTCATCTGCTAGTTGACTTAATACTAGTGAGTTTCCATCACATTTTAACGGTTCAACAACTGAATTATTTCTGAGAAAAATGGCTTAAACTTCTGTCCTAAATAAACAGCAGAACAGCATTAACCAGACCTTTCCTGGACGCTGCCTCCTTCCTGAGCTGGCGCAGCTTCTCCAGAGATCTCATTATGTCCTGCATCCTCTTCACATCTGCCTGCTTCCTCCTCACCTCACACAGGACAGCGTCTGCAGACAGCTTCAGCTCCTGCTCCTGAGAACCAAAGGCATTCAGAAAAACCCTCATATTCATCCTTCTCTACATAAACATCTTCATCCTTCTCTACATAAAGTATTACCTTCTTCTTTTCTTCTACTTTTTGTATCTGTCTCATCCTCCATTTGTCTATGGAGGCCTCTTTCTCAGTGCTGAGTTCTTCTGCCAGCACCTGCTCCACCTGCCGGTCCTTCTTGGCCCTCAGGCCCCGGGCCCTCCTCTCCGCTATGCGGGCCACTTTAACTTTAAGTAGATCTAAATTCTGGGAGTCAGTGAGTTTCTGAACTTTGGCCTGAACTTCTCTCTTTATGTGCAAAGCCATCTGATAGGACTCAGACCAGTCGCTGTCTGAGTGAAGATTGTGCTGGAGAGAGAGACAGAGCTCCTTCAGCCGGGAGAGCAGCCGAGCTGCGCCGTAGAGAGCCTCTTTGAAGACGGGGACAGAGCCGAGGTCTGACCGCTGCTCCTGCGGGTTGTCGGGAGGTCCACCTCGGCTCTGGAGGAACCGGGTTAACCACTGGCGGTCCTGCCACCTCTGCAGCTCCTCCTCATCCTCTGGGTGTGCTGCAGTTTCCCAGCTGCTTTCCCGCTGCAGAGGATGAGGCTGTGGGGGGCCCGATGAGCCCCGGTAGGGGAGGCCTCCATCGCGATAGTCCTCCCGCTGCCTGAGTCCGCAGTCTGCCCGGAAAGGAGCGGCGCCGAGCTGCTGGGACGCAGCCTGAAACGTAGGGACTGCAGGGCTACGGAGCGTGTTTCCAGGGGCGGGAGGCGCCATTCCCGGGAAGTGTCCCGGAGGAGGACAGACAAAATTAGGCGGAGGGACAGATGGGTCGAATCCATAAGGAAGGGGACACTGAGATGTACCGAAACCTGCTCCCCCAGAAGGAGGTGCGGGGAAGTTAGCCGTAGGAGGAATCCATGGTGGAGCGGTGTGGTTCGGCTGCTCGGAGGCGGGCTGTTGTATCCCTCCTTCGAAGACATGATGAAGATGGGGAGCATCTGCCTGTCCGCGCTGATATGAACCATCCATGCTGACTGACCATTACTACCTTCATACAGCCATGATTATCCGCTTCTTCTGTTGCCGATTGGCGGCAGACAAACTAGCTTTTGGTGCATTTACTGCCACCGTCTGGACTGCAGTGTAGCAGAACATATTCCAAAATCCTTTTTTGTTGGACAGTGAAGCGCTCCAGAGCAATAGAGGGCGGTATAACATCAGCCCTGTCAAACTAACACAAAAAAGGCAAAATGAAGTTTGAAGCATAGCCATAATAACTTTTATTATGTCTATGGTTTGAAGTACTGTTCATTTTTGTTTAACAGACGTAGTTAGATTTCTGATGGCTTTCAAAGATGGCCACATGCAAATACTAGAAAAGTTTGTTGCATTCAGTAACATCAGAATATCTGAGCGTTTAAAATAAAAAAAAATGTGAAAAGTGGTTTTCGTAAATATGTGGACTTATATGTCTTCCAGTTTCTTCAGGTAGCGCCAGTTATAAATTAATGCCACATACTTGAAGTGAATTTCAAACATAACAGGATTGCTCCCGGTTTGGACATTTTATGTAAAAAAAAAAAAAAAAAAAAAAGCTAGAGACGAAATATAAATGTAAATGTAATGGTTCTGTTAGTTCTAAAATATTGCAATACGTGTGGGCAGTTGTAATCGTTTAATAGAACTGCAACACAGCCGAAAATCTTTTGATTTTAAATAGCAAAACAAGGAAGATAATATTCCGTGGTTGGTTGATGCAGCCAAAAAAAACTATGTTTTCCGACTTCCGGTCGTATCTAAACGCACCTTTTTGCGTGAGTCGCGGTAGACGCTTTGCGGAAGTAGGTAAAAAAGAGTCATAAGACCATAAGACCAGCCTGAAGATACAAAAAACATGCAACCGTGACATGGATGAACACTCTCGGGCACCGTGACTCACCGCCACCCGCAGCAGGACGGCAGCAGTGGCGTGAAGTGGCGACTCGACCCCTTTGAATTTGTGAGCAGCGTTAGCAGCTAGTAGCGGGTTTTGTTCGCTGGCTGTTCGGAGGAGAGGGAGCCCTTTCCGAGCTGATTCAGTCCCGCCTGCATGTGACAGCTCAGATGGAGGAGATCAAAGTGTCTCCTGACTACAACTGGTTCAGAAGCACAGTACCCCTGAAGAGAGTAAGTACACCCACTGGTGTTTAGATCCATCAAGTTATCCGGAGACAGCATTGGAAGGTTGATTAAACACTCATGTTTTTTGTATTATGAAGCATAACTGGATGTGCCCATGTGCCTGTTAATAAGGTACTACCGTCAGATAAGAAATGTTGACTGGAGCTCCAGAATTTCCAGATTTATGATCGGATCCAGTCAATGGAGATCCCAGCCGTCCTTACTGACAGTGTGGTGCCAGGTTCGGTCCAGACTGGCCCTCCTAATGGCGTGGATGGTAGTTACTGAAGAAGGGTTGGTGGGCTGATGCCTGTGTGTTACTATAACAGGAAATACTATCAGTTAACCACATTGAACACACAACTCTATACTTCTCTCCATCATATCACGGTCCTCACTGCTCTCTTGGAGCTTTAGGATCTTCATTAGCAAGAGTGATATCAGGGAGAAAAACGAAGACAACGGGGACTGAAAGGCCTTTTTAATGGCTAAATTTGATTCAGAAATGTTTTATTAATCCCAAAGGAAAGTATTGGGAAAACGGATCTTCTGCGTCAGTCTGATGAACTATTAACAGAGTTTTAATGCTTTGAACATGAGATGTTGAGGCGTACCATATATTGCACCCAAGCCGTCCTTTGCGATTATGATATTGATCATGCTGATCCTACCAGGCAGTGGCGCAAAAAGTGGGTATGCAGCGCATGCAACGCATAGGGGCGCAGCACCAGAGGGGGCGCCAAAACCCCGTCTGGAGGGTGCCGATTATGTTTTCCCATACACTTCAGCGCGCCTTACGCTCCCAGGCTAAATGCGTATTTCAGAGCTCTAGGTATAATTGATCAGTATATTTTCATATGTAAGGTTGCAATAGGCTGCTATATGTCAGTGTACGTGGAAGTTGCTTAAACAAGAGGCTTGCCATGATTTGATTAAAACATTTGGAAATGTCTTCATTTGAATATTAAAATGGAAGTGTTATGTAAAATCTAGTTTCACATCATATTATAATACTCCCTCATCATAAACATACCTAGAGTGTTGCTTTGATTCTTTCATGTATGCTTGGAAAATCCTTTTATCTCCCGTGGCAACCATTCAGGGGTGCCTAAACTCTTCCTCTTACAAAGCCCCGCCTATTTCCACAAGGCTCCTCCTTGAAGCTGTAATCTCCAGCAGAGCCTTTCCTCCCCCTGCTCCTCCAGACAAGTGGAAGCAGCAATTAGCAAACACCTGGTGGAACTGCAAATCTTGTGAGCTCATCAAATCAACTACTTCTGAGTCCAATGCTTCTAAGAATAATTGTACAATGGAGGAACATTGTTGTGATGACGTGCTGAAGATGGAATGGCTTCTTAAAAAAAACAGAGACCCAATTTCAATTACAAAGTCAAATTTCTTTTAAGTCATGTATTATATGCAGCATTTTTATAACAACTGATGGTAACATAGTTATTTGATTGTGCTATAAAATGACACTAAGGCCTGGAAAATACATAATACTGCCCTTTAGGAAGCTGGACGTCACATTGATTAACTTGTATTTTCTGCTGTTGTTATGATGCTATGTAGGCAAACTGTCAGCCAGGAAGTTCAAGAGAAAGAAGGGACAAAAATTATGTAGTTCCATACTGACTGCAGCTGCTGCTGAAGTCAGTCTGGTTTTGCATCTCACCAGCTCAGCCACAGCTCCCTGCATGGGGCGGGGGACATTGTAAAGACCGCTTGGTCTGTTTATAGCTTCTAATACAAGGTTTCCCCCAGAAAAAGTGCTAAGCCCAGTGGTGGGGGCGTCGAGGCGGTCCACTGGCAGTCCACCGGCAGTCCACCGTGTTTTTGTATTAAGAGATGTTAAGTTGACAGGAAATGTGAAAGTATTACTGTGTAATTATATGAAAAGATTTCCAGTGAAATGCTATTTAAGCCCACAACTAGTCTAAAAACAATAAATTTGCACTTCTGTTTTATCCAAATTAAGTCAGCGGCTCCATCAGGCCCTCAAGGGCCCCATAAACGCTAATGTTTTAAAACAGACCACAGTTACATAAATGTAACACTTTTTTATTGAGATTATCTATGCTGTTAAATTTTATTCAATTGTTTAGGAATACATAAATTAAATGTTTTTAAATTGTTTAACATTTAAATACAAGATTTTAAGGAGCTGGCAAGTTTACTTTGTAAAACTTCAAAGAACAATATTCATAGTTAGATTGTTTTGTTACCATACCAACAATCTGATGCTGTGAGTTTAATCTTTGAATTTACAAATACAAATTAGTAAATTGCTATAACTTATTGCTTTTTAGGCTGGCCAATTAAACTACTCCCTTCTCCCATATTTCACTAAATCTAACACAGAAGCTGTTAGAGCTGCTGGTATTTTTAGCAACAAAAGGGGCCCCTAAATCAAATTCTGCTCAAGGCCTCATGCAGCCTTTGACCGGCCCTGCATGATGAGGTAATCTGCAGCACTTCGCAGAGATGCGCAGCAAACGGGAGTTCTATTTCATCCCTACTGACCGCCAGAGGGCGGTGCTGAAAGCACTGACTGTTCCCTTCGCGCATGCGCCGTTCGAGCAATAATATCAACAGAGTCACACCTGTGACCTATCGGATGATCAATCAGAGGCTATATAGCATGACATCATCCGACGCTCTGTTCCTCATTTCTTCTCGCGCGCGGTTCGCTTTGTATGGCGTAGGCCTTTTGGATTTCTGGATCTTTTCGCTGTCGTTGGACGCCCGACTGCCTGTTGGCCGGAGTTGCGGTGTAACGCCCTCCGAGGGCTGCGACGGATCTTCGTTTAAGGTACTGTAGCTGACCACTCTGCCTGCCCTTGGTCCGCTGGATTTTCTGTAATTGGTGACGGTAGCGTCTCGCACCCTCTCCCAATTTCAGCAGATTGTAGCTTTGTGTTGAGCTCAACTGACTCTCTGTTTGCTGCTTTAATTGGTGACGGCGGTGTTCTCCGCCCCCTCTCCCAATTTTAGCAATCCTCCTGTTTTGGGTTGGGCTATGTGTTGCCCCTCCGTTTGTTTAAATTGGTGGCGACAGCGTTAACGCCCCCTCTCCTGATCTTGATCTGTTTTTCATCATATGCTGGACGTAGCTGACCTCTCTGCCTGTCCTTGGTCCGCTGGATTTTCTGTAATTGGTGACGGTAGCGTCTCGCCCCCTCTCCCAATTTCAGCAGATTGTAGCTTTGTGTTGAGCTCCACTGACTCTTCGTTTGCTGCTGTGATTGATGACGGTAGCGTTCTCCGCCCTCTCTCCCAATCTTGATTTGTTTTGCATCATATGCTGGATGTCGCTGACCGCATCTGCCTGTGTTGGTCCGCTTCTTTTTTTTGTTGTTTTTTTTCTGTAATTGGTGATGGTTGCGTCTCGCCCCCTCTCCCAATTTCAGCCGATCTTGTGATCATAGTTTTGTGTTGGGCTCACCTGACTTCCGCTTGCTGCTCTAATTGGTGATGGCAGCGTTTTCGCCCCCTCTCCCAGTTTTATTTTTTCGACCCTTATTCTGGTAATGAGGAGGAGGAGGTACAGTCGTCTCGCACGTCAGAGACTGGAACGCGCTCTTCGTCTCGGAGTGCGGCTAGTGGCTGGTGACAGTTCAATGCAAGACATCTTGCTTATGGCCTTGAGACAGCCACAGCTGGATGTCCCGCAAGTGATGGAGTATGCTCCTTGCAGTGCCTTTTTCAGGCACGGACGAGCCCCTACTCCCTTTTCTCCCTCCATCAGGGGAGTATCTCAGGGAGTTGCATGCTTGTCGGTGGGACCCTAGAGCCTTTTCACATCTCTCCACCGATGGTCAGGTGTTGGCGGCTAGGCAGGAGCCGGTCAAGACAGGATCACATGCCTGCGGTCGAACCTGCTATTGCCTCGCTCATTGTGTCTCCGGATGAAGCCCTGCGTGATGTTCGGTGCCTGCGGGCTCAATGTCATATGACAGATGGCTTCCTCTGTAACTCGTAATGCCGGAACACATGCCGGCCGCCTTGGCAATTCCTTGCCGCACCTCATGGTTGCCCTTTCTCTGCGGCAGACTAGACTACAGCTATCAGGCCTCAGCAGGGGTAGGTCCCCTCCTTCTCATAATCGGAGGCGCCCATCAGCTGGCCCTAGCATTCAGCTGCCGCCTTGGGGTTCTGCTCGGCCTGGTGGGTCTTACCCTCGTGATGTACAGCAGAGACCCAGCAGGGACTTTTGTGAGCCGGTCCGCCAACCAACCGGCACACTCCCGTGCGCTCCCGTTTGGCCTCTCCCTTTCCCTGAGGGTGTTCACTCAGTGCGTGAAGGCAGCCCTCTCTCTTCTGCAGGGCCATGGCATGTAGGTTCTGCCATACCTCGACGATTGGCTTCTCTGCGCCCCATCTCGAGAATATGAATCTCGCGATACAAGTCGCCTGCTCGTTTATGTGCCCCGGTGGGGCCTCAAGATGAACTTGACGAGCTGTCTGATTCCATCACAGACAACCACTTTTCTTGGGTTGCTCCTGGATTCTCGCTCCATGACAGCCAACCCATTTGCCCAGCAGGTGGATGACATTCTCCAGCTGAGTCGATTCAGGCTGGAAGGGCAGCTTCCTTGCATTGCCTTCCTGCAGCTACTGAGCAAACTAACATAGTTACTCGTGTTGTACACTTGGTCTGCTGTCACTGCATCCTTTGCAGCTCCGGGAGAGTGGTCCCTCCACAGCGACATAGTCCGCCTGATCTGAGACCTTTTTGATCAGGCAGAGGTCGACCTGTTTGCCACAGAGGAGTCAACCTTTGTCCTCTATGGTTTTCCCTTACAGGGGCTGCAGGTGCACTGGTCCAGGACGCCTTGGCCCATCCTTGGCCCAGGGTCCTCTATATGCCTTTCCACCCCTTTCCCTGATTTGGCCAACTCTTCGGAGAGTCCTCAAGGAGAGCCAAAGGATTGGCTGGCACGGCCATGCTTCCTACTTCTGTGGAATCTGGGTCACGGGGTCCCATTGTGTCTTCCGACCAAGAGGAATTTACTGTCTCAGTTGGGGGGTTGGATATGGCATCCTCATCCTCAACGCCTCCGGCTGTGGGTGTGGCCACTGGGAGGCTTGAGTAGCAGCTGACTGGGTATTCAGGTCCCGTCAGGCACCTCAACTCGTCAACAATATGGAAACAGATGGCGTCTGTTTTCCCTTTGGTGTTCTGCCCGTATTGATGATCCAGTCGCCAGTGTGGTACACACTATTTTGGAGTCTTTTCGGTATCTTCTTGATAAGGGCCGCTCTCCTTCGACACTTAAGATATATGTAGTGGCTATATCATCTAGTCATGCTGACCTTGATGGCTGTACAGTGAGGACCCATAATCTGGTTTTTCTTTGTTTTGTGTGGTGTTCGTAGACTGCACCTGCCAATGGTTCCGCGAGCATGTGTTTGGGACCCGTCCTTGCTCCTCAGTGCTTTATGGCACCCTCCATTTGAGCCTTTGGTTTAGGTGGACCTCAAGTGGTTGTCGTGCAAGACTGCCTTTTCTTGGCTATCGTCTCAGCTAAGAAAGCTACATGCCTTCTATCAGCCCATCATGTCTCAGATGGAGCTCAGATGGTTATGGTGATACATTGTGGCCAAACCCAGCATTTGTCCCTAAAGTGTTTTCCCATTCTCCTTGTAACCAACCATTGGGATTGGTGCGTTTTCAGCCTACGTCAGGGTAAGCTGGTGATAGATCTGAATTGCTGTGCTCAGTGAGGCCACTGGCGGCATATATTGCAGCCACTGCTGCTATAAGATGCTCAGACCAACTGTTCTTGTGTTATAGGGGCCCTAGATTAGGTTGTCCTCTGTCCAAACAGCGTCTCTCCTATTGTGGACGTCATCTGTCACACCTACACTGCAGGACAGTCAGCGTGAAGGCACACTCTCCCAGGAGTGTCCACTTCCTGGGCAACCTTGAGAGGAGTTCCACTGGAAGCTATGTGCTGCTGCATCATGGGCTTCTCTGAGCACATTCACTAGATTATACGATGTGAATGTGGCCTCCTCTCATCCTCTAGACCAGGTTCTTTTACAAGGGTCCTCTGGGCCTCCTTAGTGAGGTTTGTGCTCAGGATTCCTTGTGACATCGCTGGTATTGGTCATTCAGTGCTTTCATCCCTACTGACTGGCGGTCAGTAGGGATGAAATAGAACGAAAGTTACGAATGTAACTGATAGGTACTTTTTCTCGAACCTATATAAAAAGACCACAGACAACGTATATGAATTTTATAGACAAGCTTTTGCAAAAGGAGAACTCTCCGCCACCGCCTCTCCAGGCCGTTCACAGAGAATTCTGGTCTGCTTTCGCGTGAGCCCCTGTTTTATTGTCAAGCAGAACAGCCAGAAAAAAACAACAGAGGTCGTAAAACATT